TAGAAGTATGGTTTGTAATGTTTGGTGTTCATTTTGTTGTGCTGTCTCTTTTTTTCAAGGTTTGTTAGTCTTGCTTGTATCGTATTCAGGGATGCAACAATGGTGTCAAGGGATGTTATACATGTTTCTATGGTATCAACTCAAACAGGGTATCAAACAGGGTAATGTATTTTTTTAGTTTGGGTCTGCACGGTGGGTAGAAATATGGAAAAGCATTGTCAGATGATTTTAGAAACAGAGTCATTTGCTTGGGTAATCCTAAGCGATTATGGTGAGCGTAGTTGTCGCAAAGAGAACATTTGATGTAATTTTCATTCTCCTTTAAAGATTCCTTTCATTCTCCTTTAAAGATTCATTCTCCTTTAAAGATTCCTTCCTCTTGCATATAAGGCAAGAGCAAGAGTCTTGTGGTTCTTTAGTGGAGATTTCTTTCTTTTTAGGATTGTTTTCCTGGCATGGTGGGTTTGTTGAGATGGGTTGTTGATTGGGTTGTCAATCAAACAAGATAATCAATGAAGTAAAATCACACCAAACAGTCAATTATACTAATCACACTTGCCAATTAATTTAACTAATCAATAATCACTCTAATAATTAATTATACTAATCACTAAATATACTAGTCAATTAACTGCACTACTCACTAATTATACACTAAACCGTCCAATCATACTAAACAATTAATTAGCTTAAATAACAACCATTAGTTACTAATAATCTGTAATAACCTATTAACCACTAAAGATAAATAATTGTAGAATTAATTAATTAGTTAAGATCAGTTTATCAATTAAACTGAGTTGTATTGAGGGGAAAAATATTAGGGCAGGAAGAGAATAATGGAGATGTAGGGCAGAAAGAGGAGAAGATTAGGTTTGGGTGGCTACTGGGAGGTATATAAAGGGGGCATGTATTAGGCTGAAAATGTAGGCGAATGTTTTTTGGCAGAAGGCTACTCTTCCCTTGTCACTTCAGTTCATCATCTAGCGAACTTAGGGATCAGGTCTGTCTTATCACAGATCTCGTCTTTGGTCAGCGATCTTGAGAATTAGGCTGCTGCTTGAATCAGCAGGGCTGTGCTCTGTGATCAGGACTTCAGATTAGTGGTGCAGGTGGCAGTTTAGGCAGAGGTTTTGCTGGAAGGTCAGCACTCTGGGATCTAGCCTTCAGCCGTTGGAACTTGGGCAGTTGGAGCTCAGCCTTTGATTGAGGCTCCAACGGGCTCTGGGCCACAGCACACCCCAGGAAATTGGGAGCTTCAGATCCCCAGGATCTCCAGTGGACCCTACAGGTGGTAAAGGCTACAATGGGCTCTGGGTTACAGTGCTCCCTGAGGAATTGGGAGCTTCAACTCCCCGGGAACTCCGGTGTAGGTGGTGGTCTTGATGGGTGGAAAAGACTCTAACAGGCTCTGGGCTACAGTGCCACCAAAGAATCAGGAGCTCCAGTGCAATGTGTCCCACACCCCCTCCAGTTGAAAATGCTGAGATTCTTGAAGATTCAGTGCAGAAGTACCTGAATGGCAAGAAAATAAATTATCAATGTAATGATGGTTTTGATATATCTGGATCAGCTGCTGTAACATGTAGATAAAATAACTGGTCACCCTAGCCAAGATGTGAACGAAGGAATGTATGGTCTGTATTTTTGCTGAGATTTACAACTTTCACATGGAGAGTACATTTTAAAAAAATTAGAAATGAAATATTATTAATCTGAACCACTCACTCCAAGATGTGCTGATCCTGTGTCACTGCTCTTAGTTTTTCTGATTGACAAATTGATAAACCTATGGGTATTTTGATACACTCATCATTTTTCCACCCATCCCCAATTGCCCAACTTCCAACGCATAGGCCCCCATACCCTATCAGGTGGCCAGCAAAAGGAAGCAAAATATAACCTTTAACTAGTCAGGAATCAAATTAAGTTACAACTTGAGCTCTGGAGGGTAGAGACATTGAGAGCTGGGAGATAGTGTGATGCTAAACTTCCTCCAATGGGAAAGGTCTTTTTTTCTGTTCAAGAAGAAATGCAGCTCAATAGTCTTGGTAATATTTCCTCTACTTCAGATTTCCTAATCAGAGGGTGGAGGTGTCAGCAGAGTTATCCAGTCTATGTGAGATCATGAGGGATAGCTTTTAGATTAATGCAATTTTCATGTCTGGAAATAATACTTATGGTTGCCCTGCCTACCTTGAATGATCAAACTTGTTTGTTTATTTTTTTATTTTTTTTATTTATTTATTTATTATTTATTTAATTTCTCAATTGCTTACAAGATAATAGTTATAAGTATATACATAGTTATGAATACATGAAATGGGTACATATAAGAAAAATAAAAGAAACAATAGGATAGGGATGGTAGGCACGATGGTGCGCTTATGCATGCTCCCTACAGACCTCTTAGGAAAGGGGTGAGGTCAATAGTAGACAGTCTAAGGTTAAAGCTTTTGGGGTTTGGGGAAGAAACTACAGAATCAGGTAGAATATGCCAGACATTGACCACTCTGTTGCTGAAGTCGTATTTCCTGCAATCAAGTTTGGTGCGGTTAACCTTAGTTTGTATGTATTGTGTGCTCGTGTATTGTTATGGTTGAAGCTGAAGTATTCATTGACAGGTAGGACATTGCAGTATATGATTTTATACACCATACCTAGATCAGACCGAAGAGGGCATAATTCAAGGTTTTCTAGGTCTAGAACTTCAAGTCTGGTGGCATAAGGTATTCTACAACGAGTAGAGGAGTGTAGAACTCTTGTGAAATATTTCTGGACTTTCTCAACTGTGTTAATATCAGATACGTAATGTGGGTTCCGGACTGATGAGCAGTATTCGAGTATTGGTCTAGCAAATGTTTTGTATGCTCTAGTTATTAGTGTAATATTACCAGAGAAAAAACTACATAAGATTAAGTTAACAACTCTTAATGGCTTATTGGCTATGTAGTTACAGTGGGCTCTAGCACTTAGATCATTAGAGATGAGTATTCCAAGGTCCTTTACAGAGCTTGGATCATCAACAAGATCTTGACTATTCAGCTTGTATTTTATTTTCGGATTTTTTTTGCCAATATGTAAGACAGAGCATTTATTTGTTGAGATTTGAAGTTGCCGTTTGTTTGACCATTCTGATACATAGTGAAGATTTTTTTTGAAGGGTAGCAGTATTGTCTGTGGTATTGAACAGCTTTACATCAACAGCGAAAAGAACGCAGTTGCTCTTAATATGATCACAGAGGTCATTTATGTAGAGTATGAAGAAAGTTGGTCCTAGAACACTGCCTTGGGGGACACCACTATTGACAGATACAGAATTTGATAGGACACTCCCAATTTTGACCATTTGTTGTCTGTTTGACAGGAATGCTTCCATCCAGTTATGCAGTTGTCCAGAGATACCATAAGATTTTAGTTTTAGGAGTAGTTTGTCATGTACCACTGAATCAAAGGCTTTACAGAAGTCTATGTAGATTGCATCTATTGCTTTGCCCTGATCAAGTTGTGTAGTCCATATGTTTTTGCAGTGTAAGAGTTGCAGATTACAGGATAGTTTTTTCCTGAAACCAAATTGTTTATGGAGAGTAGGTTGTCTGTCTCTAGGTGGAGGATAATGGATTGTTTAATAATTGATTCCATGACTTTACAGGTGATGCAGCATAAGGAGATTGGTCTGTAATTTTCAACTAGGCTGGGGTCTCCCTTTTTGAAGATGGGGATGACTATGGCTTGTGACCATAGGTAAGGTAAGGAGCTGGTCCTGAAAGATTTTTCAAAGATTATGCTTAGAGGTTTGGCTATGGCAGTGGATAGCTTTTTAAGAAGTAGGCACATATTCCATCTGGTCCAATAGATAGAGATGGTTTTAGATTCCGTAGTGCTTTTTCAACATTGTCTTCTGTAAAATCAATTTGTATTATGTCATTGTAGTTGTCTGTGGTTCGGCTAGGAAATACTGGGAATGATCCATTGCTGTTTACAAATACTGAGCCAAAGAATGTGTTAGAAATGTTGGCTTTAATGGTGTCATCATTGCAGTCTTTACCATTAGGTCCTAGCAGGGGTGGGATGGACCTTGAGTCCTTTAGTTCGTTGTTTACAAAATTGTAAAAAGTGTGGGTAGAATTGGTGCATAGAAGGTTTTCCTCTTGTTTAATGTGATAATTGGTGCATTCAGTCTTTATCTGGAGGCATAAATTTTTGTATCGGCTTTTGAAATTGGCAATGTAACCAGATTTGTTTTTCCACCAGAGTGATCTCTTCTTGGATTGAAGTTTCCTTATTGTTATGGGTAATCTGTTTTTTTTTTTTGTTTTTTTTTTGGTAGTTGTTGCTGGTACATATAATTTGATGACTCCTTTGACTTAAAGTAAAAATATGTTGTAATGGTCTTCAACGGAATTGCATCCAGTGAATAGATATTGCCAATCAAGGGATTTTCCTTCACTTCTACCCCATCACAATCTAGAGACTATTAGCTGCTAAGTAGAATATAAAAACCAAATATAACATCCTCCGTATAATCAACTGTAAAAACAGTAAAACAACAGAACAGAGCCTTTATATTAATCTGTTCCTTCTCATACAGATCTGATGGTTTCTAAATAATAGCAAAGGATATTGAGACCATCTCCCTCACAGCCTAGGGTAGAGGATTACAGTTGCATGCTTCATGATTGCACCGGGGAAAACAGGAAGGCGGAAAAAAGTTTTTAAAATTCTTGAGTCCCACTTTACGATACCTCCAGTTTAAGATATAAAATGTTCAAGCCAATATCACTACTTCATCACACAGATTGTCAGTGGAAGAAATAAGGGTCTTTTATTCAACTATCTTCCATTGTCACTTTCTGTTTCCTTCTTCAGATGCAGGGCAGAAACTCAGACCAGATTCTGAAAATGCATTAGAACAACATAGCTAAAACCTTCATCTCTGATGCCAGGACAGACTAAAGCAAAGATATTGAACTGAGAATATTCTGAATTTTGGCGATGCCTTACTTTTTTTTATCCCTTTTTTCAGCAAAGGGCTGTGATTATGTCCGTATAGAAAATGGAAGAATGACTGAATATTTGGAACGGTACAAACCATTTCCAAAATGGGAGGGACAAACAATTGACTTTCGTTGTGATCATGGTTTTGTGCCTGCGAACCAGCAAACAGGGCAAACATGGCAAAGGGCTGCATGCATCAATTCCCGCTATGTCCCAGAACCAAAGTGTTTCAGTAAGTAACTGTTTCCCTTTGCAGTAGATATTACCAAGTATAAACAAAACAGGCCAGGGAGATGCTATCCTGACCTTTCTTTAACCTTGAAGAAGTAGCATCCTACAGAGATTTCAGTCTGTTCTTGGGTTGTTCTGCCTGCTAGGGTGGTGCTTCCACTGATGTCTCTTCTCAAAGGACCCTAAAGGTTGTTTTGGAGTTTGCAAAAGAAAGTGTACTAAAACCTTAAATGATAGAGGTAAAAGCTGAGACTTTGATAAAATATAAACAGAAATATAGGGTTCTTCCTCATCACCTTCCTCCTCTCTTCACACCTTGTCTTTTCTGTGCACTAGATATCATGCATAGTATGAATTGCCTTCCAAGAACCATCCATGATGGAACTAAGTTGCTTTTTTTGCTTTTAGAAGTATGTGATCCTTCTATACGTTTTGATCATGGTCGCTTCATTAATCATGACTACATATTAGAAGGTAACAACATTACATTTGTTTGTGATACGGGATATTCTCCTGCAAACCAGCAATCAACAATTACTTGCACCCAAAAGGGGTGGTCACCTGCTCCAGAATGTATCCTGACAGGTAAGCTTTAGGAATGTCAGCTAAAATTGCCTGACCTGAAATTGCTTTTGTGTGTGTGTGTGTGTGTGTGTGTTGTGTGTGTGTGTATGTATATGTATATGTACACACACATACACACACACATATATTTGGATATATATGATCAACTGTAAAAATAGTAAAACAACAGAACAGACTAAATAACCTTTATATTAATCTGTTCTCTCTCACCCAAATCTCATGGTTTCTAAACATCAGCAAAGGTTATTGAGACCATCTCCCTCACAGCCTAGGGTAGAGGATTACAGTTGCATGCTCCATGATTGGATTGGATTGGAAGGGAAAAGTCTAGAATAGTTCATCATGCAGAGAGGTTCATTAGACAGCTTCTTTTCTGCATGTAGTTCATAGAAGGATTTAAATTTCTTGCAGGATATTCAGTTTTCAATACAACATTTCAGAATTGCTCTAGTACACAATTACCAACTATGTATCCGCATTGTATTCTTCTTTAGCTTTTACAAACAAAATTAGAGAATACAGGTTCTTCCACCCTCCAAGTGAACAATCATCATACAAAAGAAGTTTCAGAGAAAATTATTTACACAAA